TGTTAGGAATGCTGACATGTCTGTGTGTCCAAAGACCTCAAGCCAAAAGGTGGATAGAGTGCATGCAATGAAATGTTCTGGATCCACAGGAAAGTCTGAATTTATATTTTAGAACTCAAGAGAATGGTTTTGGAACCCAAAAGTACAATGCCCCCTGGAGCTCTTGTGAAAGTGAGCCTTGACGTGAGGGGAGAATGGCATTTTTAGGGTTGTGCAGGCTATTTGCATAATAATTTCACTGGAGTGCAAGTTACACACATGCGTTTTTCTTGTCGGTATTCTTTGCACATTGCATCACATTGATTCACAGTTAATATTTAGTGCATTTGATTTTTCATTATGGATATTTTGTAGCAATTACTTTTACACTAAGGTGCATGTTATATACATGCGTTTCTTTTTTGTTTTGCACTTTTTACACATTGTATCACATTACTCCAAGGTCAGCATCTACTATATCTGACACTTTGCGGTCTCATTCACACAGCGCGGCTTTTACCATTAATTTCATACGTTATATCTGACCACACAGATTTCAGCTGCTGCTTAACTTGATTAGAGTAGTGGTGCAAGGTTTCACATCATTCAATCATGCATAATAATAGTGTTTACAATTAAATATGGATTGATTGGCACTGTAGTGTGTGGGTGGCGTGCTGGAGTACAGGCACTGACCTAGACTGTCTGTGGTGAGGTTGAATGTATCTAAGACTGTCTGTGTTGAGGTTGAATGCATCTAACATAGCCCTGTTCTAATTCTACCCTTCTCAATCCAAATGTAAGAAAAAAACATTGGCTTGATATACTTGTAAAACAAACAATGCTGGGGAGGTGGAGGTGTATTTCTCTGGTGCTGTTTATAAATGGCCCTCCAGAGAACACATACGAGTGCGCCTGTGAATGGCTGTGATCAGAGGCATCATTTGAAAGTTCAGATGGCAGGCACAATGTGGCCAATCAGAGTGGCTTTGAGGTTAACCCCTACCGGTGTGAAAGGGGGTACTGCCATCTTTGACCTGAGAGGTGGGAAGGTTGATTCACTGGAGCACTTTACATGGGTTGTACACGCGTGTTCTTGTTTCAAGCACTAAAGAGCTTCTTTTTTTTTGCATGTGTGACTGTTTCACAATAATTAGAGTCATATAAGAGACTGCTTTGGACTTATACACTGTGTGGGCACTGTTGCTGTAGGAGCACCTACAGGCTTTTGGGGAAGACTCATGTTTTTTTACTGTTGTTTTTTCACACAGTATCAACAGTATTATCACCACAGGATAACCACCAATACTGGAAATGTAGCACTAGTGTTGATTTTTATTTGTGTTTATCACTTGTTTATACTAATGGTTATGTTTTAATGAGCGCAACACTTTATAACATTCTCTGAGTATCAAAAAATAATTTTTGATTTTGGTGTTGCTGCTTTTTTGACACATTTGACACAGAGTTTTTGTCTTTATATTGTACAAATGCAATAATGGTTCTCAACGTATAGTAGGTAATATGTACAGATACAAAGGCATTACATGCAAAATGGAAGGTATACAGACACAAAGTCTTCAGATATATAGTAGTATCAATATGCATACCAAAGTATAGGGTCCTCCAATTGTAGCTGCAGATTTTCTATGATCAGATGGAAAAAGTTCAACAGATTCCTCCATCTATGGTAAAATGTGTGGATGGAGGAATCTCCCACTGGGCCAAGCTTCAGTATCTTGCTAGTCATACTCAAAATACCTGAACATTGCAAAATACCTGAACATTGCCTGCATCCAATCAGATTGTTCAGGTATTTTGACAGCCAGCGGGGCCGACTAGCAAGATACTGAAGCTTGGCCCAGTTGGAGATTCCTCCATCCACACAGTTTAGCGTAGATGGAGGAATCTGTTGCACTTTTTCCATCTGACCAGAGAAAATCTGCAGATAATCTATAGGTGTATGGCTAGCTTAAGGCAGAAAGTCATCATAAATGAGGTCCAAAGAACATCCAACATTTCGGGGTACCCAGACCCCGGAGTGTGTGAGATGCCGCTATTAATTTTCTACTCAGGCTGTGACTGCTATCTAAAGAAAACACACTGTAAGACTTTGTACAGCTTTGGTTTTGACGCATGTAGAATTTATTGAGCTAATCTAAACTGAAAATTCAATTGGGCTTTAACCCTCAACACTTGCTCCCTAACAACCTCTCAGTTTAACTCCTTGGACGAATCCCTGATGCTGATCATAGGCATTACAATCTGATTGGACTTCCTAACAATTTCCAGCAAGTATATAGTTCAAGGGCTTTTCTAATTGGATACACATTGAGTAAATGGTTTAGGCGGGCCCTCACAATACATATTTTGGTAAATTTGAAGAGGATTGTACAGAGATGATAGAATAAGATTGTAAAGTGCGGCTTAACCGGTAAAACCAACCAACTCTTAACCAAATCCCTAACCGCTACAGCAGCATGCTTTCCTTATCTGAAATTAGCAGCAAATGCTGCCAGACTCAAGCTGAGAACTACAGCTTTCCCTCTAATCACCTAGATTGCTTCATGTATTTGGAATGTGAAATTATATGGTAATTAAGAAGTATGGCCCAAGTTTCCCAGGCCAATGGTAACAAAGGAATCCAGTACACTTAATTAGTGCAATATATATAATCTTACCTTAGTGAATGTGAATTGGGTATTTTCAGAAGACAGACACATATTTAAAAGAAGAGATCCCGATTACACACCTGCTGAGTATACTATTACTGCAACATTTTAATATGAATTGAATTTTTTTTGTATTCTGTAGTGGAAGATTTATGCTCACTTGCCCGTGACCACAAAGGGATTGTTTTGAGCTGAAGTGACTGTTTCTCCTCTTTATAAAGCAGCTTTCTCAACCGGGTTGCCAAGACACCCTGGGGTGCCATGTGGCTTTGACAGGGGTTCAAGGCTTTGCACAGCATCATGCATTTCCATGATGCAGGCAAGTTGTTCGGTAGCACCATGGCAATGCATGGTGCTTATCCAGGGTGGGCAGCATCCAAGATATCATTCAGAAGGGGAAGAAGTCTGCCCTCATCCAGACCTGCTCCTCCTTCTTCCCTCTGCCATGCTGCTGCAGCCACACTGAGATGAGGTAGGACTCTGATGATCAGGGGGAGACTGAGGACCTTAATGTGAAGGAAGGCTCCTGATGTGAATGAGCGACTCTGATGTGAAGTGGGCTCCTTATGTGAAATGTGGGGTTTTGATGTAAATTGGGGACTCTGATGTAAAGAGGGCCTGTTATGGGAAAGGGGAAAACGCCATGTTTTTTTTCTTTTGCATGTGGCCCCCCTAACATTAATACGAGACCCCTTTTTAGGTTAAGGGTCTTGTATGAATTACTTAAACATGTGACATCTTTACACATGCACATAATGACATCATATGCGCTTCACCATTGGCGACCATCTTGGTGATGGATGTCATCAAAGAGAAGATCCCTAATTCGTTCATCAGACGAAATAAGGTATGCCACCAAGTGCCCTCCTCTCTCGTGCAGCTGTTGGGCTCTCAGTCCATGACCGAGTGCCAGACTTTTCAGAGGGGGTCCTAGGACCTGTAGCACTCGGTACAGGAACTCCCAAGTGTAAGATGAGGGTGCTCGCAGTGACCGCGCATGGCGCCGCATTCAGCATAAGCAAATCTAGGAACGCCACCAGCACGACAGAGACTAAAATGTCAGTGAAAATCAATTTATTGATGTCAGTCAATACAAGCGCTGAGCCTGATGAAGGGTCCCCTTCATAAGGCTCAGAGTAACAGAGTAACAGGTTATTACTCTGAGCCTGATGAAGGGGACCCTGCGCGGTGACGTTCCTAGATTTGTTTTCAGAGGGGGTGACACTACAAGGACGGTCAGTCATTTTGGTGTCTCCCCCTCTGATGTTGTCACCTGGTGCGGGCTGCACACCTTGCACCCCCCCTTGTAACGCCACAGTCTCCTCCTTTAGTAAATGAACCCAAATGTCTCCAACCTCTAGTCGATTCACCAAAAAAATATATGGGCAATGCATTCTAGAGAAATGGGCAATTCTCCATGGTAATGCTCTGGGTATAACTGCATCAGGAGCTGAGGACATGTTTCTATTGGAATAGAACATTTATTTGGCTCAACAAAGAGAATTACAACAGATAATTCACAACTCATTCTATCCAGAAGGTTCGTCTTTATGTAAAACTGAGTCCTATGTTCTTATTTTAACCTTATCTATTTTGTCTAAGTAGGATACAAAAATAAACATCACTGGAGCTCTAAAATAAGGACCACCAGGCAACATTTGTAACCCTGTGAACCTGCTATAATATAGGGTTCCAGCTGCCACTGTAAATGAATTTCAGGTCCAATCATAGAATTTCTTTATTAAACAGACTGTTGACACATTTCACCGGCACAGAAATGCCACTTGCTTATTAGGAATGACATTTAACTCCAAAGAACAACTCTGGAAGTCTGCAAGCAACTATTTCAGGTTTAAAGGACAATACAAATAGCTTGCATAGGATGGTGGCCCAAGACAGAATTGTGCTTCTGGTTATCTGGTTATTATATCCAAAAGTAAAAGAGGATGAAAGTGACTGGCAACAAAAGTTCACAGTATTCAGACCAAGCAGGAAATGTTATTTTAGGGGTAGGGTTCTGTTACTGTACATGGTGTTATACCCCGTCGTAGGTACCAGGAGGCAACATTGGAGTTTTTGGTGGTTTTAGACATTTTTTGGCTGGCAGCAAACTGTAATGAGATGGTGAATTTCCAGAACATTAAATCACAAAATGGTTTGTGTGGCAGTTATTTATGTGATATCTTTTCATTGACCAAAGTAGGTCTCAGTCTCTTCAATTTTCTAAGAGTGAGACGGCAACCCGCAGATGCTGCAGTGCCGTCCGTCCGTTTTTTTACTACGGGCGGACGGCAAGAGGTTAATAAAGTTGGTCTCACATGATCATAGTGGGGCTTAAAGGTCAGGAGGTTATCGAGGTATGATGCAGCACTTGTAGTATGGTGGGACATTGCCCAGTCCACTCCCTGTTGGTTTAAGGTCTATCTCCTCCTTTGGAATGACTGGTTTGAAGGTGAAATATTGAAGCAGAGATGTGAAATATAGGAAGAGTTCCATCCGACCCAAGCTTTCTCCTGGACACATCCTTTTTCCTAGCCAAGTCAAAACAAGGTTAGAGTAGTAATAATAATACATAGATTTTGGACTTTTGATTTAATTGTCAGAAACATAAAATGAATCCAACAAGCTAAAAAGTAGCATTACCTAATATATAACACATTGTTTTTTTATCATGTCCCTTGTGGACTCCATCTTAATGTAGTTTTCTTGAAGTTTTTTTTTTTTGGAATACCTAAAATTGTAGAATGTGCTTCGATGATGGGAGAAATGTAAAAAGAAACACAGACATAATATAGTACTGCATTATAACTGGCAGACCAGGGCTCAGATCTAACCAGTCCCATGTCTGCATAGTGTTTGTATGTACCTGGTGATCTTGGGGGGGATACCCCCAGATTACTCCTGGCAGTGGTGTGCATTAGTTCTTGTTCACCTGTGGTAGGTATGTTGTAAAATGGCCTGGATGGGAAGGGGGTTTAACACCGCGGATGTCAACTGGTTAACATGGGATAGGGACCTGTGGGATTCAGGATTAGTGATGGGCTGAGTGTTCGATTCGAACATGAGTTCGAATCGAACATCGGCAGTCCGAGCGCTCGTCGAACGCCAAACTTTATGGGATGTTCGCGGTTAGTTCGACCACGGACATTCCATAATTCAAAATGCCCACTGAAGCTCTGATTTGTTAAAGTCTTGCACCTGACCATAGGTCAGGTGCAAGACTTTGCCCAATCAGGGCTCAGCGGAGGAGGGGCCTGAAGGAGAAATGTCTCTATCAGGTCCCCCTATGCTGATTGACAGCAGGCAGTGGGCGGGTGCAAAAGCCCTCTTGCTATTGGCTATTGCATTTTTGCAATAGCTTGTTTCCATAGCAATTTTTGCATGCTTGTTTCCCCTCTTTCCTGCTCTGCAGGTGGCTGCTCAGATCAAGGGTCTGGTAAGGGATTTTAGTCCTGGTATGATTTGAAAGGGGAGTCCATGCTGTTTTTTTTTATTTTAACGTTAAACAACACAAGTTCATTCCGAATGACATTCGAATGCATCCAAAATATTGTTATCGGAAAATTTGGATACATTCAGATTATTTATTTTTTTCATTTGGAAATTCGGATGCAGCTGAATATCCAGATTTCAGAAAATTCGGACAAATCTTAATTCAGAATAAAATGAATTGCACATGTTATTGATCCTGTTGACAAAAACCCTTACAGAGTAGTGACAATACTTAGCTGCATATACAATTGGGGACAATTGCATACACCAAAACACAAGATGAACAACATTGTGTATGCAGTCCAGTGCAGTGAGGAGTGCTCAGAATTGTATGTCGGTGAAACAAAACAGCAGCTACACCATCGTATGGCATGGGGGGGTGAGATATCTATTGTCTGCCACATACAATGCTGTTTTAACACCTCTCTCTGGGCAGGTTATTAACACCTCCTAGCTCCAATTATGCAAATGCAATCAACATCTGGTTGCAACTAACAGATTGTGGATGGAGCAACATTCACCATATGTATTCCCAGATAATTTTTTTACAAGTCATTCTGAATTGAGAAAGCTGGTTGGATGACCAGTGAAATGTCTTCAAGAAAAATACAGCAAGTCCTGTTGCCTTGACTTAATTTTCACAGATACAACCAGAAAGGTGTCACTCTGACTGTTGTATCTCATATTTGGTGGCTGCTGAAAAATGTGCCACAAGTATCCAAGAAAGAAAGTATAATACTAGCACAACAAGGATGTTCATCATATATGCCTAATGAGGGGACCCTGCGCAGCCCTGGCATGTCAATATCTGAAACCTATGTTTGGACATCAATAAAGACATGTTTGGACATGTCACTAATGAGCAAGAATTTGCAGGCTTTTAGCCAAAAAATCCCAGCAATTCTTACACTGCATCCAGAGAATGGACACCCGGATAATACACAGTAGGTATAGTCTTCAAGCCTGCCACATCATATTTTTCCACTGATGCTTGGCGAAGACTGAGAGGTGAAGAGAAGTGCCAAAATAAATTAAACGTGTATCACTGTATTGCCAATCTCTTCTTAAGATGTACAATACAAAACACACGAGAGAATGCTCACGGCAACCAGTACATGCAGAAATGTGGGATTTAGTAATTGGTGTCCATTTGCTAGGGAACATTTTGTTAACCTAGCTTGTTGGCAGTGATTTGGTGTAAAGGAGGAGACTGCAAATAACCATTACAGTCTATGAAAGGGACAGAATCATACAGTTAACAGTAATGAGCTGGCCCAGGGTAATTTTTTCTGCAGCCTGTTCATTCTGAGTATAGTTCTCTCTTGCTGCACAGCAAATTGAAGTATAAAAGTATAATGCAGTACAGAACAGTCAGTACAAAATAATTATTTGTTTTGACGGGGCTTCTATATTCTAGCATCTATAATTAAATAAAATCACAAATGAGTAATGAGAATTCCTAATAATGAGCAAGCACAACTTTAGCCTTTAAAAGACTACACACTACAACATAAAAATAAAAAATTATTTACCGGCACCAAAAGGCATGTGTGCATCGTTCTTCTTAAAAAGCCCTTTGCCATCCAGAAAATGATTTGGGTTAAATTCTTCTGGCTGTGCGTAATGATCTGGGTCCCTGTGGACAGAGGCGAGGAGTGGGGTGACATGTGTGCCCTAAAAAAATTAATATTATCAGCATGTGTAGGGTTTTAAGAAATATTTTTCATTATATTCAGATCTTTTTAATAGTCATATTTCTTTTTAATTGCATATTCATATTTCATATTTAAAAATTGCAGCACTTTACAAACTACACAATTGGCTGTTGTGCTGTGATAAGACAGGGAGGGATACCAATGCCCTCCCCCTTCTTGCTTCAAGTCAGGAAGATCTTAATAGGCATTGTATATGCATTTGAATAGGTATGAGCCTCTTGCAATCCCTTATACTGCTGTAGTGATCATGTGTTACCAAGGATGATGCCAATAAGAGGAGAGAGCAGAATGACAGAGAGGTGAGCTTGTCATTATGCTGCTTTTACATTCGCTGTACACTATGTATAAGCTGGGGAGGGATGAGACCTGTAAAAGAAAAATAAGGTCTCCTGCCCACACCTGACAGGGCTGTGCCATGTGGCAGAGCTGCGTAAATCTGAGAACTGGGTGGACATATTTACAAATCCTTTGGCAGGTAAAACAGATCCCCTGCATATATTTCATCTGTGTATTTAGCTTTGCTGAGCAGTCGTAGGCAGGACATATTTAGGCATCATGCTGCTTTAGAAAGGCTTTTTTGCATAAGCTCCGGCTTTGTGCCATGTGATTATTTTAGCAAATAACAATGCTAGAAGACTATTGATGGCAAAATCTGATTTGCTTTACATGCAGAGCTACTTTTCAACTGTACAAAACACATATCTGACTGCTGGGCCCTAGAGCAGTCATATTATTTGCCATGTTACCATCATGTTCTCAAACAATTCATCCTCACACAGCTACTTCCTCATGTATCACTTCTCCCTACCTTATAGATTGTAAGCCCTCCTTACCATCTTGTCTTAATTTGTATTGTGATTGTTATGTCTTACTTATATTCTAAAGCGCTGCGCAAACTGTTGGCGCTATATAAATACTATGTAATAATAATGTTACAGTTACCTATATTTCTGATAGTGTTCTTTTACCTTCGGGATTGAATATCCTCTGTATTGTGTGCCTCTGGATGTGGCTCGAGGAAGGCTGACTGGCAGCACATCACAAAACCTTATGAGTTCATGGATAGCGGCCTCTGTATATGGCATATTGCTTCTGTCACTTATGGATGGCAGTCGGTTTCTTCCAATTACGCGGTCAATCTCCTCTTGCATTTTCTCTGGACCAGGAAACACCATTGAAGATATAGAAGCTTAATGTCTTCCTCATGACATTCTGTTTTTACAGCATTTTTGTAACACTTTTCAAATGAACAGCTTTTTAAGGATGATCTCATTGAGTCCCCAAGAGATATAAAAATGTTATTTATCAATTAATTTGATGCAATGTATGTCATTCTCTAATATACATTATTTACCAGAAGGTGAAGCACCTTCACTGTCCATCTTATGCTTGCCTGCATATCTATTTTACATCTGTCTTTCTGATAACATTCCTTATTCCCCTTAGACCATTGACCTTAATAAGTAAATAAAAGACCATTGACCTTAATAAGTAAATGCAAAAATAAAATGTATATCCCAACCCATTTCTCTGCTTATCAAATGTCAAACTAAGACTATAGATCTCAGATGCTGCTATACTAGTGCTTTTATGGCCACCACCTTACCAAGGCTTGGAAATTTGTATATGCTCTAGTATTATGATGATGCTGTAAAGGGTCTCACATTCACTGAGCCTTCCTGTATGGGGTAATAGCCATTCTGGGAACATAAAAATTAGTATGGCCATTACTCTCCTGCTTCTTTTTGACTTCTTATCAGGACTGTCCAAACACTACATGAGGTAAACCCTGCTGGCTTCTGGTCATGCTGTGGCAGTGGAGACACTGAATTGCCTGTACATGTGGTATTACAATTTGGTAAGGAAGTCAAGGTGGTGATGATGGTGGTGAGGAGATGTGTTTTTTTTTAAATTGGAATTAACATTTAAAGCAAACTTCTGTACCAATAAATACAAATGAAGCAGCCAAGGTAGCAAATAGCTGACAGAATAAGCAGTCATTCTAAAATTGCTATTTTCATAAGCATTTGCACAGTCCTTATTCTTAATGCATGGGCCTGCCAATAGCTTGCTGGGGTCATGTGTTAACTTGTGTATGCAAAAGCGAAAACATTTGAGCTCTGACCAGCAATATGGGGTGGGGAAGTATTTTCAAACAAAAGAAGTACTAACATTATGGCAGACCTTTTCAACCTTTTAACCCAGGTGGACCCTTGAAATTATTTTTGGGACTTGAGGAACCCCTCAAGACTATGGGACACAAGCTGAAAGAAGAGGGGCCACCATATGATGGATATATTGCCCAGTCATGGATATGGTGGGGTACTAAGAAAATATTGCATAATATTGCAAATATATGCATCTTACGTCTGTATGTTCATTTATTTTCATGCAGGGGATAGGGTGGGAAGGGACATTATTTTTGTCATAACTTCAGCTTTCATTTGACCAGTACATCCTGTACTATTAAGGCCCACCTCATTTCTTGATTCAAACTACGATGGGAGCTGTAAGACAGTAAGGTCATGGAAGAGTTTGGTAGCCATTATTGTGTTGTAATAAATGTTGAATCATAGGTAAGCTTGTAAGAACTAATTCTTACTTTCAAAATTTCCTAGAGATCTCATGGTAATAAGCAAATAGCATGTAGTCAGAGATTTATTATTATTGCTTAGAGCAAACATGCTAGATTTTATTGCTGACTGTTTCCCCAGGCAAACAATAGTAAAGAAATCGTCCTACCACTTTCCCACTGTTTGTCTAAATCAAAAGAATACAAAATGGCAAAATGCTTTAAATTCAGTGTTCCTAAAGGAATTTTCAACTCACCTGCAACCTCTGGGTATTTCATAAGCACCAAGAATCCGTATCTCAGGTTAGTGCTGACCGTCTCTGTTCCTCCAAACAGCAGGTTTTGAATTGTCCTGGCCAAAGATTTGGCATAAAAGGTGGTGTCTGGATTGTCTGCTTCCTTAACATGCAGAAAAAATATCACTTAACATGCAGAAAAAATATCACTATGTTAAAACAATATCAATACATAAGATATACACTGATCAGCCATAACATTAGGACCATCTGCCTAATATTGAGTAGGTCCCCCTTTTGCTGCCAAAACAGCCCTGGTCCATCAAAGCATGGACTCCACTAGACCACTGAAGATATGCTGTGGCTTCTGGCACTAAGCTGTCCTATAGGTTGCATGGTGGGGTGTCCATGGATCAGACTTTCCAGCACATCCCACAGATGCTCAATTGAATTGAGATCTGGAGAATTTGGAGACCAAATCAACACCTGAAACTTCTGACCACTGCCGACTGGGAACATCTCACATGCGCTGCAGTTTTGGAGTTGCTCTGACTCAGGCGTCTAGCCAGCACAATTTGGCACCTGCCAAAATCGCTCAAACCTTTACACTTTTTTCTGCTTCCAACACATCAACTTCAGGAATAAAATGTTGACTTACTGCATAATATATCCCCCCCCCCACTTCCAGGTGCCATTGTAATGAGATAATTAATGTAATTCACTTCACCTCTCAGTGATCATAATGTTTTGGCTGATCGGTGTATACTTTGTTCATCAATAAATGAAAATAGAAATGTGTAATAACAGGTATAAAAAAATCTTGCATTTTAAGCCTTTTATTTCCTAAAACCTAAATACTATTGGAAAAATCATGCCGATATCAAGACTAATTTTGGAGCACTTAGCTTTTCTTGCTGCATTTGACAAATATGCACTGTAGGACAGCCAAATACAGAATCATCGGGCAGCATGTAAGCTGATGGCAGAGCATGCCTCTGCTACTCACACACAATTGTCTACATGCCCCTGCCCCAATTATGGCTATTTGTATTCCTTCTTCATGTGCTTCAGCTATATTTTATTGTTTCTAGTAGCAGGACTGCTAAGAAATAGGTCAGTAATTGGAAAGCCATGCAGTGAAGCCTGTTATGGATTGCTATGTAAATATAGCTCTCCAAACACTAATGAAAAAATCTGCAGCTCTGCCCGTAGTATTAACCTTTAGTAATCGATTGATAGTGATGCCAAAATTCTCACACAATCTCTTTAATGTGAAGTATAGAGCATTTTTGGTTTCTTCAAAATCCCTAACCACTGTTAAGTGACATGATCCTTGATCTGGCCATACACCTACTGTATCATTCTTACTACCTGTCTTTCTACCCCCGCAGGCTGAAGAAAAAACGCTTGATTCGTACCACTGCTGATTTGTCGAACTGAGTAGTACCAACGGGGCCGCACACTGCTTAAATTTCCACAGAGTCATCAGGACTTGAAGCAGTGTATGACCAACTTTAGTATTCAGACTTATTGTATTTTACCTGTATAGCCTTACTAATGAATGTAACTTTTGCTTATGCTTTTTCCCATCAAATGCTTAAATTGAATTGCCCAGTTTTGTGACAGGCTAAATGTCTGTGAAGGTTCTCATTCACCCAGGTCATGGTATATCTGTAAAAAATAAGTCAAGGTAACTGGAACTTCAATAGAGGTTGGGGGGAGACATCTATTGTCTATCACATACAATGTTGTTTAAACACTTGTCTCTGGGCCAGTTAATAACACCTCCTAGACTCCAATTATGCAAATACAATCAACACCCTACCTCCATGAGGTTTCTGACCCCATGATGGTTGCAATTAACAAATTATGTGGGTTGGAGCAACATTCACATATTTATTCTCAGATAATTTTTGTACAAGTCATTCTGAATTGAGAAAGCTGGTCGGATGACCAGTGAAACATCTTCAAGAAGAATACAAATACAGCAAGTCCTGTACTGTATTGCTATAGTGATATACTATGGGGGGCCCGGGGGGGGGGGGGGGGGGTGAGGTGGGATGGGAAGGAGGGAAGGGTAGAGGGGGAAGGGAGGGACACCGGGGATGGAAATAATTTGTACACTAATTTGATAGATAACACAAACAACACAAACTGTTGGATAACAGTAATAGAGCACAGGATATTCAGGTAAATGGAACTAGGTACAATGGAGACAATGAGGAGACAATGTTCCCCAAAAAAAAAAAATATATATACCTTAAAGGGCAACACGGGGGATATAACCCCCTGATTTATTATAAGACAAGACACTGAATATACAAAATTGAGGGTCCAAAACAGATTATGGCTCACTTATCAGAGAAGATAGCAAAAGTGTTTGTTAACTACTACACTGACTTATATAACATAGGCAAAGGGAAATCTATAACTGAGAGAGATTCTGAAAAAGAACTGAAGACCCAATATGTCGCCCATACCGCATTACCTAGGCTAAGGAGCGATATTATAGAATTATTAAACACTCCTTTCACACTAGAAGAGATAAAAGAGGCGATACATATGACGCCGATGGGGAAGAGCCCAGGCCCTGATGGGCTGACAGGGACATTCTATAGGTCGCTGTCAGGGGAACTGGCCCCAATTATGTATAACACTTTTAATGCTATCAATGAGGAGTGTGGATTTCCCCAACAGAGTCAGGAAGCCTACATAACTTTAATACATAAAGAAAAGAAAGACCCGGCACAGTGCGCAAGCTATAGGCCAATTTCCCTCAAAAATGTGGACTTGAAAATCTATGCCAAAATCATAGCCCAACGATTACAACCACATATGGAATCGGTGATAGATCTAGATCAGACGGGGTTTGTCCCTGGCAGGGAGGCCAGGGACAACACCGTCAGAACAATATATCTTATTCAATATGCCCACAGACGTGGAAATCCACTGTGTCTATTATCAATGGATGCCGAGAAGGCCTTTGATAGGCTGGACTGGAGTTTTATGAAGGCATCATTAGATCAAATAGGGATACCACACCTGCTATTACAAAAAATTATGGCATTATATGCCGCCCCTACAGCTCAGATATGTATCAATGGTATACTATCAGACCCAGTAAAAATAAGTAATGGAACTCGACAGGGATGCCCTCTCTCCCCTTTGTTATACATCATTGCAATGGAACACCTGGCTATGGCATTACGAAAGAACATTGATATCGGAGTAATGAAGATTAAGGACAGAACCCATAAACGAAGTATCTTCGCGGATGACCTGTTGTTATACATTACAAATCCTAGAATAGCATTCCCGCTGGTCCTGGAGGAGATAGAACACTGTGGGCGTGTAAGCAAGTAAGTCTCAGTGCCTAGATGTAACTCTCCCCCAGGGCGAGCGGGAAAGTCTGACATCTAATTTCTCATTCGTATGGGCCTCAGTAGCGATTAACTACTTAGGTATAAAAATCCCCACAGACTTAAAAAAATTATATGAACTCAACTATATACACCTCCTGGAGATGACACAAACACGAATGGAGGATTGGAGAAAGAGCAAACACTCGTGGTTAGGGAGCATGGCGTTATTTAAGATGGACATCCTCCCAAGATTCCTTTACATGTTCCAGACGACCCCGGCAAAAATCCCACGGTCGTATTTTCGTAGATTATGATCATCGCTACTCAAATACACCTGGGGTACCTCCGGGGCGCGTCTGAGATATGATATTTTGGTCAAAAGAAGATCAGAAGGGGGGGGAGTCTACCACACATCGAGATCTATTATAGATCAGCGACCCTGAATAGAATGATGGACTGGTTCTGCCCGGCGCGACCTAAACTCTGGGTTACCATAGAACAAGCTGAGGTTTCAACACCCTTGACATCACTACCATGGATAAACCCGGATAAACGGCCGCGTGGGTGGAACCAGTTGCTCGTAATTGGTACGATACTAAATATAAATACAATGATCAAGAATTATGGTGTATCATCCTATGTGGCCCCATTGACACCCATCCTTGGGAATCCAGACTTCCCGCAGGGTTTGGGAGATGGAGGATTTTTGAGATGGAAGACCTCGAGGCACTCCCCAATAGTACAAGCAGTAAACTTTGTCAGTTTTTGTAAAATTTGGATGTTGATCTTGTATATGAAAGGTAATCAAATAAAGAAAATATATATATTATTTTTTTAAAGGCTAAATAATCCCATGTTTTGCATAAACGACAAAGCAAAAGCAAACTCCATCAGCTGCTCAGTTTTTCCCACCTTCATTCTCCTGCTATTCCATATGACCACCAGGTGCAAAGATAGGAGACCCTGTGAGAGGTCTCTCACACTGTCCCATGTGACAGAACTAGGTCCCTGAATGGCCAATCAGCAAGCCCATTCACTGTCACATGGGAGGAAAGTCACATACATATCCATACCCAAAAGTACCTGACCATTTTCTTCAGTCTCAGCCGGCCAATAAACAATGAAAAGGTAGTGCTGGGGCTATAAAGCACAGGTTCACTTTTAGCTGATCCTTTTGACATGTGCATACAAAATAAAGACAATATGCTATTCAGTAAGAGAGCCTTAGTAAGATTCTATTTGTTATGATTACCTCTTTAATCTTCATGAGGAAACAGTCAATGTAGTCACGAGGATTTTCAGGATCCAGAGTCTCCTTGTGTTGTTTAATGCTTTCAGCTGAAATGTCATAGATCATATTAAAATACTTGCCGATTTTCTTGTGTGGACCTGGCAAGTATTCCATAAGGCCTGGATACATGTTGTACAACTGGAGTGCCACAAAAAAAATCAGACATACAAAATATCAATGAAGAACCAAAGAGCACAACTAGAGCAAAACATATATGGACATGTAACACCAAATGTTAGACAACTTTCTAAAGACTGCGAGGGGAAACTTAGGGACATCACAGCCTAATGACCTCTATTCATCTTAGTGACCACCGGACCTCCAATAGGTAAAAGGCTTGTGCTGAAAGTCTAACAACACAAACTGTATGTAAAACAGAGCTGCTTAAAGGGCATGGAAAATATTTTGCCCCTATAAATACCGCTATGCACTTGAAGGGAAACTTTAGTCTTACAAATATAACATCAGATATATATTAAACAATGACTCATAGAAGGCTATGTAATGGTTGCAGATAATCACTCATGTATTTAAGGCAGAACATCACTCATAGGAGGCTCTGTAATACAGGCAGAGCATTACTTATAGAGAGCTATGTAATGCATGCAGAGCATTATTTATAGGAGGCTATGTATTACAAACAGAACATCACTTGCAGGAGACTAGGTAATCCATGTAGAGCATTGCTCACAGGAGGCTATGTAAACCATGCAGAATACCTATAGTTTAGACTGGTTTGGACAGTTCCCCTATGGAGCTATAGGTGTAAGAGGGTTAGGTTGGGTGAGTATAGGAGACTGAAAAGGGAGGGGGTGGGGTGGACAGTTGGTGGATCATTAGGGGGGATCAGTCTGGATAGCATAGGATAGATAGGCTATCTTTGGTGGGTGGAAATTGGGGGTAGTCTTCTTTAGGTCAAGCAGACAGGGAGTCATTATGTGGTGGAATAGCAAGTGGAGTGAGTCCCATCCACCCCCCCATTAGAAATAAGGGTCGGTTGCTGTTCTAATGGTTAGTTGCCACTGATGAGGTGCCAGGAGGAGGGATACATGGGTTTTAGTTAGAGTTTGGGTGAGCACAGGCTCATCTGGGTAGTCGTACTGTAAATTTCCATTGGCTAATGCTGTTTTTCTTTTAAGTGTCTTTGCCAAAGGCACAGGTCCCTGACAGTGCCATCATTTCTACAAGCAAGGTCTGGCTCTCCACAGAAGGAAAAGGAATTACATTTATGGAGGTGGAGATGGTGGGGCTACTGTGGCTGAATAACTTCAGTAGTCTTGAGGAGTATTGAGAAGAATTTATGGGCGTACCCACTCGGGCTTGATAATGAGCACCTGCTGGTTGGTACATTGTTATGGGGTCATGATACACACAATGAGGTTAAAAGGAAGTGTCTACTATATTTTTAGTCATTGACTAACTTTTTAGGAGGTATACATTTTTTTTTTTACTGAAAAGCACTGTATGATGGGAACAGCTCTAAATAATGGAAGGCAATCATGCTTCCTCTGCCAGACTGGTAAAAAGCTGCACCCCTAGGATGCTCTTAAAAAGGCTGAAGGCTACTAAATACACAACTTTAACTTGTGGTTTAATTTGACCATAAACATAAATATAAAGCCAATAGTAACTAAGGAGTATAAAAGAGCCCTGAGCTGGACAATTTTTTTTTTTTTACACAGAACACCCTCTCATTTCCCTGAAGTGCACTGAAATTAGATAAACTATGAATAAACAGGCTGCATGAATTCTAAACAGCAGCTCCCATGCTATTGGCTGGCTTTGTGTAGCTATGGTTTCCCATGTGAATTTGTTATGGTGTAGCACTATCTGCAGTAAAGCCAGCAGATTGCATGCCTGGTGATAGATACATGTTAAGGGCCCACATTTGCAATGTTAACCATTTGCAATAATCCAATATTGTTTTTCTTTTTTGCATACAGGCCCCTTTTTGATTGCCCATATTTATAATGACAAACACTTCAGTATACAGGCTTTTCCTTCATACTTACTGTCCCCCAAGTGCTGCTCATGATGAGAAAGTTATAATAAATGCTGTCAGTTATGGCCAAAAGTCTTTTGTCCTCATAATCAAACCGACTGCCAAATACTATAGAGCAGATCACATTGGAGACTGTTCGAGCAAAGTAGTTGGTGGGATTCACTGGAGCCCCTAGAAAAAAAAGTCATACATGGCAGTGTTATTTACTGCCCACGATCACACAGTCTTGATATATCCATTAGTGCATGGTTTCTCAACTGGGGTTCTGTCAGAGGTTGGATTTATATCCCCCTAGTGGTGGCTTCACTTTTCCCCCTGCAGTTACCACTAATAGTTCCAGTACATCACACTGCGGGAAGCAGGATGAGAAGAGCCGGCTAGGGAGTTAGAAAGACATTGGCCAGTGCTGACAGGGTAGGGCTACATAGAGGCAGCTTGTGAGCATAGCAGGACATGTGGATGCGGACTGAGGAGAGTGCATCGTCAATGAATTTCCTGAGGATGCTCGGCCACCTGGAGGAGATCTACAACCTCATCAGATACGAGATGGGAAGCTGCCAGGTGGTGATTCCCAAAAGGGGGCAGGTAAGTAGCACGGCACCTTGTACTTCCCTGGACAAAGTTTTTGCTCACCACCAATCATATTATTTAACTGTAACTTTAACCAGAGCACCAATGCAAAGTTTTATACTGTGTAGCAATGCAACTTTTTTCCATGAACACAAATGCAAAGTTAAAGTGACACTAAACTCCGGAGTTAAACCTTAAAATGCATTCAAGTCCCTTAACTATTAACAAAAATGTATCTTATTTGTGTATCACTCAGCTGTAGATCCTCCAATCATCTCTAAATTGGTGCTTCTGGAGGGTGGCTACTTTTCTTCCCCATGGTCTCTGTGTGTGTTGTAAAGTAGCCACGGCTCCAAGCTCTGCTCCTGTGATTGACTACAATCTCAATACAATTTATTAAAGTAAACGTGAGATTGTAGTCCATCACAGGAGTGAGCTTGGAGAGAAACACACACACACGCACACACACACTAAATAAAATCTAAATTGTAGCTGAGCTGTACCATTTGCCTTCTTAAACTCTTTTATGAGGAACTGAGCCTCCTCTTGTATCCGCTCCTCCACACTCCTTTTCCCCATTCCAAAGTTCCTCAGTGTGAGCAGCGCAAAGCGTCGAAGTGTCTTCCATCTCTCCCCATTGGTAAAGCAAAGGTCTGTTAAAGTAAAAAAAAAAAAAAGCAGTTTTTTTCACCATTGTATGTGGGAGCCAAATCTTTATTTAAAGTAAGTCAGAAAAGCATACTCTTGTGAAATCTGTCTATTATGTTTGAGTCCATCCCAGGGCTGGATTTATATTGCAGGAGTCTGTAGTCACACAGCCTTGTGCGCCTTAAAGAGACTCTACATTGCGGAAAAAAAGCCTCCCAAACCTTCCCGTTATTACCAAATGTCAGGCCACTCTGGCAGCCAAGGGTCAGACACTTCTGATATAGCTTGCTTCTAAGCCACAATCCCATGCATTCCTTTCGGATTATCACTTTGAGGAGAAGCCTCTTTGGCCAATAGGCAGGAAAGAGTGGACAAGCTGCCTCCTAACCTCTGAATTTTTCTCTAGTCTAGTCTTGGAGCTGGAAAAGTATTTGTACTTGTAGTTGTACCGAGTGCGGTACTTGTTATCTGAACATCCCTAAAAAACTATACTATTTGACTTCTCATTGTATAGATTTTTCATGAATATTAATAATCTTATACGGTATATTAGACCATCCAGAACACACAAGAGCCTTTTTCTTAGATTTTTAAAAGCCCCCTCCCCACCTAATAAAACACAAATGCATACATTTGATACACAGAGTAAGGACTCACAGAAATACTCAAATGCATAATATGTGATATACATTCTATAGACAGAATAATACATTTAGAGACATTTTGGTTTAATTCTAAACGGATGAGCTGTAAAGGGTTAAATGTTTCACCTATTTATGGTTTTCGGTATTGTACTTCTAAATTCTATTTATGATTGATATATGTGGTATTTACTAATCTGACACATTTTTTTGTTTTAGTGATACATAGTAGTTTTGAAATTAAATGGCTTTTTTTTTAATGTCAGTCTGTGCTGACTTTAGCTTCACCCCAGGCTGAAGCCCAATTTATGGGCTTTCCCATAGGGGAGTTACAACCAGCACTGAAGTCACTTCCCCCTCTTCTTCCATCTAAACTTGCACTAACTTGTTAATACAATTCTATTCTTCAGCAATAACATGTTTTGTTATTTTGTTTAGAATAGGGAAGAGTTAGAAGTACAAAAAAAAACTACAAAAGGAAGAGAGGACATCTCCTTAATAGAGTCCCAGAGCGAACATCCTGCAGTCACTGAGACAGGAATTGAGGGACATCACTTCAATGTTGACATAAATGGCAATAAAAACACTTTTTATTACACTGGTAAAGTGTTAGAACTTCTGTTAGATTTTAATTGCTATATGCAAACTCATTGGAAAGATTCCTCTCACTTTCTGTGTGGCCACTAAACAAGGAAACAGAGAACAATGAAAGCATAACAGAGGTTCTATCCATTTTCCTCTCTATCCAAAACCAACAAAAATGTTGGTTGGAGCTGGGATCTAAGCCCAGTGTAGTGTGCACTGTTTTATGAGGGGTTCTTCTGATGTGCAGAGTTTATGAACATACCCATACTTAGTGTAACGTGGCCGGCTGATAGTTGAATTGCCCCTGATGGAGTAATCATGGCTGCCTTTAGACGCAATACAACATTTCAGTAGCTAATTTAAGACAAAATAATGCAATTTGGTCTCACCATGTTCACCTATAAAGTTCAAGAATACAGGATAGTCTCCTCTATCTCCAAATACTTCACTTTGGTCAATTAAAGCCTCCTTCACAGCATTGTATCCACATAGAACAATTCCAGGTCTAGGCCCCAGGTACAGACTGTAGACTGGTCCATACTTGTCTTTCAGCTGTATAAAAGTAAAATGCAACCTCACATACTTACATAGGTTAAACACAGGTTAACATAGCCATACCATTTTAAACTTGTATCCTCAAAACCTTAAACCTGCAGCTGATCTACAGGAAGTCAAAGAATCCTTATAAGGTGTAGTCCAAATCGTTCCAACAGTCAGAGGGGTTTTAGTCAGAGGTATGACACCAACGCTTGTTTCTATTTGGTATAAAAAGTATTTATTCTACATATATTAAATATAAAAACATGTATACAAATTCCTTGAATTCGACCTGGATCAAATACATTCTAGGCAGAAATATAAAACCAATTACGTCCTAACTCTAATTATATTAAATAAACCACATTATACCTCTTTCATCCAGAAGAAGGGAGTGCAATGATCTTAAACTAAAACAACTTTTCACCAAGTTTTTCTATATGGACCACTTCATTGCTTGAGTCCCCCATGCTCCTTATATAGCTAGGTGTCCCTCTCTGCATGTTTACTAGTTTCATAACGTCCGTTGTATGATCTGGTGCCCGAAATTGAACTGCATACTTGTAAAGAGGTCTTACTTTTGCTTTGTACGGGGGCAAGATTATGAGGCCGATTTACTAAAGGAGTTGGGAATGTTCAAACATTAAAATGTGTGACGATTCACTTCAGTTATCCCATCACGTGAAAAGAAAATCCTTGTTTTCTGCTTTTATCTGCACATAATGGGATAGTTAAAGTGACTATTCACAGACTTTATTGTGCAATAATTCTCAAATCCTTTAGTAAATTAACCTCTATGTTTTCCTTTCTCTCTCTAGTTTATACCTTTTTTGTACTAAAAGAAAGTACCTTGCTTGCTCTAGAAGCTCCAAATTTCCATTAGATGCTGTTATTAAGTCTATTATCTATTAGAACACTTAATCCATTATTTAGGAACATTTTCATTTGCTATTGAAGTAGGAAATCTCCATCTTGAAATTACACGCACACACAGGGCCGGATTACTCTTTCTGCTGTCCCAAGGCCAGGTTCCTCAATGAGCCTCCCTGTATGCAGGCTGCATACAAGTGATCTCGGCGACATCGCCAAGATCACTTGTACAAAACAAGCAGTGGCTTCTCTGCTGTACATTTAGCCCTGCTTGCCCAAAGCAGGGCTAAATGTAGAAAACAATTACCCACCCAGTGCCCAGAACTGCATGTCCCGGGCATCGGGAGATTGGAATTCCACACCCCTGCTGCCCCAAGGGCAAGCCTTGGTTGGCCTTGTGGTAAATACGGCCCTGCTCACACACCTTGCATCTACTACAGCTAACATAGCTAACATAGCTCCAAAGTTCATCTTTTACTACTGTCTGCATCTCCAAATGGTAGGTTTCCTGTCTCCATGACACCTCACATACCAGGGTGCTGCATGGTTTCACTGGAGAGAAGTAACATTTCCCCTAAGGGAGCACTTACAGTTCTGCATTATAACTTATAGCAAAAAAAAAAAAAGTTTGGCTGGAGTTGGGTTTTAATATAGGGGGGCTTATGCAAAATCTGCAAACTATGTACAAGAAAAAAAAAGCCTCCCCAGGCCTGCTCACCTTCATAAGTGAGGAGCCAATGTCTTTTGTGTCGATCTGCAGCAAATTGCCAATGAGTGGTAAAGGCATGGGTCCTGGAGGAAGTGATGCTTTCTCCCTTAAAATCCTCAGGAAGCTCAGTATAATACATGACACACAGAAGAAAATGGTGAGGACAAGTGTGCCATACCAATCCATATTGCCACCTGCCACATAGACAATATAAAGACCAATAATGTCTTATTATAAAGCATTCCCTAGCAAACAATCATGGGTAATCTAGTGTGCATCAACAGTGGGTGCAAACCACAGACATCTCAACTCTCCCGGACATTCTGGGAGTCTCCCTCAATAAGATAGCGGCTCCGGGACACCCGGGAGAGAAACATTTTATCCATTTTATTTATTTCATTGCTCTATCCAGCAGAGTAAACCTTTCCCTGCTATTGGTTTTTTTTTTACATATGGGGTAAAAAAAATTATGCAGGTCTTTTTCCCAATGCACTTAATTATAATGCTTTGGTGTTCACAGACTCTATAGAAAATTAAAGTTGCTGAATGCCTGCTGTCTCCATGTCTTGTGTAAACCTAAGGCCATTCTGAATAAAAAATATTGTGCTTTGGTAACTGTATGTGGTTAATAGCTACAATGATAGAATTTAGTATATAAATTCCTTTTATATAATTCACGTGTTTACGTATTTATTTTTTATGCACATTTATATACAGACCATAGCAGATGCTTCAACATGATTTTACTGTGGAATGAACAACATTGTCACCTTGATTAAGGAAGCAGAAAAATAACAGATCTACTGTCAGAATCAACAGCTAATAATACTAAGGGTTCCATTTGAAAACAATTTGTCATCACCCTAAGAATATCTGTGAACATTTGTTTTGCGAACAACAACAAAAAGGAACGTTCTTAATATATTATCTTTTCAAGTCGAATGCATTGTTATGTAATACTACATTATGGCAACCAGATGGAGCTGAGGAGCATTAGAAATTAATACTTATTTCCTCAGCTCCATCTAGTGGCCATAATGCAGTATTACAACACAATACATTTGACCTGAAAAGAAAATATAATAAAAATGCTCAAATTTGTCATTATTCACACAAAACGAACATTCACTGATATTAGCAGTGTGAAGGGCATTGCAAATTGCTTATAAATAGACCCCTACATGACACAGGGATAAAGAAAAACAAAAACTGCTGTGTTAATGCTATCGACAGACTGCACCATATATATTTGAATTTGTTATTTTGCCCATAATTACATTAATGTAAAGCATGTGTGGCAGGTTGATAATGTGCTAGCTTGCTTGCGCACACACACACATATATATATATATATTAGTGACTCAATGCACTTGAATCCAAGATGCTATATTAAGGAAACAGAGATCAAAAATGGTTGTGCTGTTACTATTGATTCTTGGGGATTCCTGCATGTTGATCAAGGCAAATTAATGCAGGAATTCGTCATAGTAACCATAATGAACTGACTGGCCTTTGAACCTAGGTCACCTGGCGTAGAAGGTCCAATAAGGGAGCTTATGGATAAGCCAGCCCCTCACTATAAAAGGGTGGGTTCCCAGCAGCTGTATTGACTACAGTAAGTGATTTGGCTGCGATAAGGAAAACATAAGGTATACTGCTGATATAGTGTATAAGGAGAGATTAGTGTAGGGCGTGTACACAATAGCAGGTCTGTTACAGTAGATGTAAACCCGCACTAAATGTCATGTAGAAAAATGTTGTGTATTTTGGATAATTTGGAGGTGCGGGAGGGAAGGGTCTATATCTTTTTGTATTCTTTGTTACATCCCAATACTGCTGATGTCCTGTAGCTTCTTTACAGCCTGTCCCTGTCTACATGCACTACAGTGATAACAGGCTGCATGTTTTTTTTTTTTTTACAGGGCATATTTCCTAATAGTTTGACTACAATTTTTTTTTTTAACTGTTTTTTTTTTTTTAAACAGACGTATGAAAATAGGTTTGCTTTACTGAAAGCCTCCAAAGTCAAATCATCTGCAAAAAATAAATCTTTTGCAAAAAAATAATATAAATAAATAAAAAATACATAGGCTCTGGCTTCCAATGCTTCCATATTTTTATTCTTAGTAGAAGAAGCCATCCACGCCTCCCAGAAGCATCAGACGCCAAGACCAAGGTTTGTATTTCTTCTTTTTTTTAGCTTCATCTGACTTTGGAAGCCTTTCAGTAGATCAGACCTTCCATTTTCATGGAAGGGCTACTTTTAATGATTACAACAGTGGAATATCCCTGGGCAATGTGCATTACCACAGAAGCTTATAGTGGGAGAGCATTGACAGGGTGATTTAAAGGCAGGAGATTGGGTAATTTGTGTTATGAGGCTGTGCTCTGGTCTCCCCCAAACAACTTTTGATTTTGATATAAAGGTCCTTATTTTCAAAACTCTAATACAATTAGGCTTTCCAACAGATATTATAATATTAAAGCTTATATGCAAATTTAGTGGTTGGGCTTACATCTACTTTCCAAACTATACCTCGAGCTCTTTGATTTGCAGTGCTGGGATGCATTTTCTTATGTTCCCTGCCAGTATGCACAGATCTGTACACCCAAAAATCCTTTAAGGACCAATACATGTCCCAAAACACTGATTGATAGTTAGCGCTTCAGCTGTCAACACCAAAGCTCCTATTAAATGTGATCTTTTCCCTTTTTTTTTCTTGATTGGGGTGAGAAGAGTGCATCAGGCAGTTGTTAATTACAGTCCAATTAAAAGCAAATCAAACCCAGGCAGTTATGCTCATCCCTCAGTCAACACCAGACCAGAACATTTTAGATAGAAAGATCTTACCTGTGACAATGTAAACTCCTGTAGATTTTATAAATCGTAGCTTATGATCTTCTGGTTGATCATAAAAATTAGACTCCACAGGGCTGCACTGTATATATAGGGTGTGCTCAGCATCTCCCAGCCTTTTTTTTTTTTGTAGGGAATGCTGTTAATGCTTGACAGATCTAATAAACATACAGTCGTCAATACTATTGAGTAATAGTATTATCATGTATTATGAAGCCATGTTTAACACAATATTGAGCTCGCTGGCAACCACGATTAATAATGTCTCCATGCACAACAAATGGTTAATATAATTGGCCATCAAGTTTTAGCAACCTTGCCCTAAGCAGGGGTGACTCTTTAAATTTTGCTTTGCTGGGCTGTCATGGGTGTAAACTGGATTGATAGTTTAGCTTTATACAGGTGACCCTAAACCTAGTATTTTTGTATAATTATGCCTGTTGCTATAATTATGCCTTACAATGCTATATGAATATTTATATCCCCCTGACCAACCACTAGGATGTTTATTGCCAGTGAAACAGATTGGGAAAGGGTATTTATATATTTAGGTGAACTGGCTGAAAACTCTCTCTCTCCCACACTTCCCAAGTCTACTGCCTGGGGAAGGTGTGTGAAGTTTCATCCTTCTAGACCTGCTGGAGCACAAACATACAGTATTTAATTGAGACCTGGGTCTGAGGCCTAGGTTGCCACAGCTTTGCTGGAGGGGATCTGTGTGAGAGCAGTGGAACCTAAACCTGGGAAGATTCATCAAGGATGGACGATAAGCCAGGTGGGCTAGGACATTGCAGGAAGTTGGTGACTTACCCATGAAGATGAATCCGCATGGACTACCACAGCCAAGTGTTCTTATTCACAGGATGTTGGTTTGACGTAAATGTCCTTTACTTGTGAAAGCTGTATGGTTTTTTTTTTTTTCCTTGGAGTCTATTGTGTCCTTAGAACTGTCCTGTGCCCTAACCCTCTACCTGAGTTTATGGTGGCATATAAATTCTATCAATTGTTCAGAAGTGACTGGTGGCCAATTAAAAGTTGAAGATTCTATCCTGAGATGAAATGTCAGCCCACCTGACCTCTGGGGGTTCCTAATGGTCTCTAGGGGACATGAATAAAAGCCTACATAGGCCATGTATTGCTGAGAACTCTAGGCTTGATAAAGGAGGACCTGCCCCTTAAATGCATTCTGTTGGTAACAAAGTATTTGGGGTATGTTTACTATGGGGCTCTGGCTGCTGCTAAACCAAGGCTGTGGTGTGGATCACGCAGAGAGACATGGGCACATATCACAACTCTTCCCAGTCTACCTGCTGCTTCAGTGTGGAGGATTCCAGTGCCAACTGCGGAGCTGCTGGCCATGAGTACTGCTCTCCCTGCACAGTGACTGGGGGCATGTACAAAGTGATTTCTAAGTCTACCAAATGTAAGTGGAATACCTTACTCTTTTGGACACAAAGTTTTTTTTTTCTTTTTTACAATTGTGCTAGAGCTCTGTGTTTTTTCTGTTCTATATGTTTTTAAGGTTCACTCACAAGCATTTCCCGTGCTGTTGATGGTGAGCTGCAAGAAGTGCTTAATTAACTTTTTTCTGAACTATATTCCTAGGCAATACTAGGACAGACTGCTAAGTGTGAAACTGAGTATTTTTTTACCTCAATATTATCATCCTTAAAGTAGTATTAAGGTCTGGGCATTTTTTACCTTAACACATTCTCTGCATTAGGGTAAAAACGGCCCAGCACCTTTTTTCTACCCCAGTCCCCCCCACACTTACATGCCTCCCCTGGAACCTGCCCTCTCCCCCCTAGTTTTGGCCATGTGTGCATCCATATTTACAGCAATGCAGAATAGCACAGGCTATAGAGGACTACACATCCCAGCAATACTTTATACAACAATAGCATTTCTATATAAAGTACTGCGGAGACTTGCAGTCCTCTATAGAGGGTGCCATTCTGCATTGCTGCAATGCAGAATGGCAGCTGCTATAGAGCACTACAAATACCAACAGTGCTTTATACAGCATTAGGCTACAAATAATAATTATTTTAATTATTTACCCTTACCTCTTTTGGCTGGTCTTCCATCTTCAGCTGTTTCCTGGCGGGGTACTCAGGCTTCAGAAAAACCCTTTGTGTATTCTGTTTTCTGGGTCCTCACAGCCGTCCGAGGCACCATGATGTGCCTTCAGTTGCTCCCTGTTCCCGGCCTCCCTCCTCACAGAGGCCAGCGGGCCCCACGCTATCTTGGTATCTGGCGGGAGGTCGGCACCCCCCCGCCCCCATTTCAGCGCGTCAGAGTGTCCGATGTTGAGACCA